GCACTTAGTTTGAGCATTTGTAAAATGAAATGTAATTCTTTTGTTTCCTCCTAAAAACGGAATCCACTGCGCTCAGCGGTCCAAGTGCTCGCTGAGAGTATCAGCTCTGGCAGATTATGAGCTTTACAAAGTTTCAGCTCACGAAAAGCCTGGCAGAAGCTGCGCGCCGATTTCCTTTTTCTTCTGTTACAGCCCGATGGTTTGATCAGATGCGTTACGCATAGTCTTGCGGGACGAAGTGCTGAATCCAACATAAATATGAGGATTAAAGCTAAACCGCGCAATGTCCCGCTGTCCAAAAGAATAAGACCACTGAGGAGTAACTGTCCAAGAACTAAATAAACAACAACAACATGTGTGTGGAGTACAAATAAAGAAAGAAAGGCGAGCACGATGCTTCACAGAACCATGAAACTGCACGGTGGGCTCACGTGCATGGAAAAGTGCACGCGCGCGCAAGAGAGAGAGAGAGAAAGAGAGAGCGCGCGCATATTAGCTCTCCGCTCCCCATCAGTCCTGGTTTTGCCCATCATTACACAGTCATTTCCAAATTGTCAAATTGGATTGTCGGAGGGCCATCTGTTCAATAAGTACTGCTTGGTTCATTATAATGAAATGGATCGAATGAGAGCCTCAGTTTGTCCGTTTGCTTTATCAGGGAGGGACATCTTTGAAAATTACCATTTTATCAGGGATTGTTGGAATGAAACGATTTGACACGTTCAAGTTGTCGGGATCACGGTTTTGTAAAGCTGCACAATACAGACTCACAGCACACACGTAATATCACTAAATGTACTGAGCCGACAAACAATCTAATGACAAGACACAAAGAGCCTCAGCGGTCCGATGCTGTGGATGCCATACACGGTCACGGGTGGACACCGCGCCCCCGCAATCATCCCATCATGTCTATGGATGTTTATTTATGTGTCCTGCAGTGGGGGGGGGGGGGGGGGGGGGGGGATGTGAGTGCCCCACCACGTGAGTGCCCGATAAAATAAATAGTGACAAATAAAAAGCAGCGTGAGATAAAATGTCTCAAACACACACACACACACACACACACACACACACACACACACACACACACACACACACACACACACACACAGAGACACACGCCGGCGCGCGGAGAGTTATATCCTTCAGCACATTTGTTTGATTGTGGCCGGCTCGCTTGCCATGATCCCGTCTGTCTGCCTTGGTCGGCATGCCAGTGCGAACACTCGAGGCCACATGGGGTGGCATATATTTATATCCCCGAGCACCAAGACACACCGTTAGCCCAAATATCACCGTCTCAATGTCCAAAAACAGAGATGTCAGTTGGGGGCCCGATGATCCAGCCATGTTAATGCTGTGATCCACTAACTCCGTGGCACCCGGGCGGAAAAGGTCTGCAACATATCTGCGGCCAGTGCGCAAAGGGAGGAACGCACGCGCCGTGTAAACTATGTGTGTGTGCGTGTGAATTACACAAGGCATGTCTATTTAATCATTCTAATAGACATTTCGAAGTATGTGATCAGAAAGGAGTTGTATAGGCGCGGCCGCCCAACACCAGATGTTCTCTCTTAAATTAAAAACGTTGGCCTGATTCAATTCAAGACTCATAAAATTCACTACTTGTAAAAAAAAATCAAGCATATGCTTTCGCAAATGGCCCTTATGCTCTCTATTTGACATAAAAGAAGGCGGATGTAGATGTTTAGCATTTAAACACTGAAACGAAAGGTAAGCTGAATGCAGTTTCTTTGATGCCGTAACAGAAGAAAACAATGTTATCATTAAGCGTGGACCCTTAAAGCCTAAAACATGCAGGGAAATATCTCGTGGCTACTAAACTGAACGATAAAAATAGCAGATTTAAGGATGAAATCAGAGGCAAACAGTAAAAAGTAGTTTGCCCGTATAACTAATCGTGAAAAATTCCTGTACAAATACCCGTTTTTGTGCAACCCATCTGTGGTAGCCTACCTCCCGAGTATGACCTTTCCCATCGCCATTTCAAGTGTCTCAAAGACCTGTGGAGCTAAAAACCCACCCGCAGTATTTGGTGCAATGTTGCCATCTAGTGGCTACAACAAGACATTGAACGGTTATGTTTACCGCCTTAAATCCATTCTCAGGCGCTTAAATAGTAAGTGGAACGCAGACAAATGCCATCTGTCCGAGTCGGTGTTTCTCTGCGCCCATTAATTAACATGGTCAAAAAATGTGGACAATGAGACAGAGGACTCATGAGAACAGGTTGAGTGTGTAAGTGATCATGTGGGCGATATCATGAACTTAGAATAAATCATGTGGATTCAGTCTAAATGGGTAGTTGTCTGTATAGGAGGGGGGGGGTGGATTTACCAGATCCTTTTTAAACTTTCCTGATTTGTTTCTTCTTGTTCTAGATGAGGTTTGAGGTTTGAAGTTAATTATAGGGATGACTTTTCAGTTTTTATGGGAAAAAGTCGTAATGCTCGAGGACAGAGGGTGACTTCTCCATTTGCAGATCAGCCGGTGTTTCATTTCTACACAATGTTTGTTACTTTTCCACCATAAAAAAAATATAATTAATTTAGGAATGAAAAGTGAATACAATTTCATGCATACTTAGATTTACATTTAACTCCATAAAACTCTGGTCTGTGACTCTGTAAAACAAACCAGTGCTTCCTCACCGTTTGCAAATTTGACGTGGAACCAGTTCAGCCAAATATCTACATTACATTACATTACATGTCATTTAGCTGACGCTTTTATCCAAGGCGACTTACAATAAGTGCATTCAACCATAGGGATACAAACTGAAAAAGAGCAAGAAACAAGACACTGCAATTTCCTCAAATAAACCAATTTACAATTTGCTATAGATGAGTGACGTTATAAGTACAATTTAGGTGCTACAATTTGGTCTTTCTAGTCATAAGGTTTTTATTTCTTACGTTTTTTTGCTTTAAAACCTTTTACCAAGTGAACTAATATATCAAGACAAACTGAAAACTAAAGAGCTGAAATGCTCTGTCAATTTGATTGTGTTTTTGGTAATATTTAAAGCAGAAATGGCCAAACACTCGCTTGTTCCTGATTTATTCATATGAGGATTAGATTGATTTCTTTCATATATACTGTGCACCACATCATGTATAAAAGTAAACTGAAGATATTGGGACTTCTGACACAAAGAAATATATATTCTGACAAGTAATAGGCAAAACGTATAATTAAATTGAGCAAGATGAATCGAGAAAACAATCGTCAGATTAATTGTTAATCGAAATAACAAGGTTAACAATTATAAATATATATTATCAGCCAAACTGATGCCCTCCGTAATCTGTTGGTTCAACGTGGAGATTCATGGTCACATATTGATACGGGGAGAAATAGAAGCACAAAAGTAGAAACTTTTGCCAAAAATAAGAGCCCCTTGAACACAAAGCAAACCACTCAAAGTCTCAAAGGTCAGGGCTGTCGGGTTAAACATGTGCATTGTGTCGGCCCCGAAAGTGCTTACATCACTTTACCGCTTCTGCATTTTGTGACGGGGAAGTGAGGAGATGGTTGACCACCACCTCCTGACCAGCCGAGGGACTAATGGGAAAGATGGCCTTATAGGTAGGACGTTGTTACCTCGGGCTTTTCTTACATGTGACATGGAATTTTGGTAACAATTAAATCTGTGCATGTATTTCCATAATAATGCACTGGAGTTGAGTAGTTTGGACCTGCGTTTCACATTCGAAGGCGCAACGGATAGTTTCATTGCAAAGCACTTCTGTTTTAGTAGAGTGAAATAGACAAACGTTTCTACAGCAGGATTTCAACTTGAAGGGCTATTTTTGGAGATTTAACACCTACATTTGCATTGCAAATGCACGAGAGAAAATACAACATGAGCTTTCAGATACATCCTGGTCCCAAGTAAGCATTTGTCATCTCATTTGTGCACTTACTATATCTACGGAATTATAGGACTGTGTCATTACATAGATTAAGAATAGAAAAACTGCTTGCAGTTCCTATTTTGAAAACAATTTTGATGTGATAGTTCCAAGTGTTGAACAACAGTTGGTAAAGATGAATAAAAAGAAAGGGAAGATAATTATGTAGACGAGAGAACATACAGACTGAGGGCAGGTTCTTTGCACGAACAGACTCCACCACACGCTTCAAGCGGGTCAGAAGTTATGATTATGAGGGATTCTTTTTGGATCAGTCAACATATTGTTTTGTCTAGAAATCCCTGTATTATACCTTCAAGTTACTTTTTTTTTTCACAAAAATGACTTTCCTGCAACTTCTCATAACTGATGCCCACAGGCTGAAACCTATGAGGAATCACATGTTGACAATGCTTTCCTTTCAAAGTCAAATGCCCCAAAAAGGTCAGGAAGTACAAATCCAACGTGTGGATCAGTGGCTGATGCTGTTGGTGAACAGGATTCTCTTCTCATTGCCTTGTTGTTGGCACCTCCTTCATTATAGCGTAGAGGAGAGGGCCCTCATAAGGAAGAGCTACCCGGTCTGAGAGCCCAGTTTTCATATTACTGTGCACGTGGGGAGACCACCAGCAGACCCAATGCGAAACTGTGACGTCCTACATTTGAACAGCCTTTTGCATTGAATGAGAAAATGTGTCCAACTTTCGACAGAGACTTTAAAGGATGCCAAGCTCCACAATTGGGATTTGGAAATACTTCAGATGAATCCATAGCTACGTACGGGAGAAGGAGAGGGACAAAAGCGACCTGTGTATGTCTGAAATACCATCATCTCCTTTGAGGGAACAGACAACGTACTAAAAGCTGAACTGCAGTTGTAGGATTTGTTGTTGTGTGAGGGAGAGAGTTTCCACCAAAAGCCCCACTGTCCCCTGACATTTGGGAAAAGCCTAAAGAAACTCTTTGTTTATTGTCAATAAGAAAACAACTATTGAGGTTAATATTCTCTAATAGAAAAAAAGGTACAGTTGAGAGTGTAAGGACATGCAAGGTACAAAAAGGTGGTGTTAAATATTATTTTATTAAGAATGGCAACAAATTATAAATGAGATGTTCTAAAATAAGATCACTATAAATATATAAAAACAACAAACATTTCTTCTGTAACATTTGTCATTAGTTCTGACAGTTTAGTTTGTTCTTCTTGTTGCTCCTCAAGCTGTAATAGAGAACGAATAAGGAAATTAGTCAGAAATAATAATTATTTTCCAATAATATGAATCAATTTAGCACTGTTAAAAAGCGGAATACACAAACACGTCTAAAGCAAGCACGTTGAAATCTCTTTTGATGCCTTCAAAACTGTTACTAAGTAAAGAAAGAAGTATAATAATCAGTGAAAAATCAGTTATAAAATGTAATGAACACTATGATAAATCAAACCTCACAACCGAAAGCAGTGCAGCGCGTTTTTTTTGTAGAAACTAAGAAGCAAATGGCTGGAAGCCCTGAGGGTAAGTGGCGCGGCTTCACACCACTGGGAGGCACGGACCTCAAGAGGCTCCAGTCGCTCCACTGCGAGTCACACAGAACGTCCTTCGCCCGGATGCAGACGGCCTTAACCCTGCGCTTGACTTCGAGCCGACACGTGGAGTGGACTGTCGAGGTCTGGCGAAGAAAGATGAACGGCTTTGTGTGCAGTATACGTAGTTCATGGTTGGTCATTTGACAGAAATGTGTGATTCCTGCATTAAAAGGCTCTACTGTTCAGCGTCCTAATCTGAAGGCGCTTCTCACCTTAAAGGCTTTGGGTCTTGAAAGGTGGGCACACGTTTTGCGTCGCCCCGTCAACTGCGCAATCTGGAAAGTGAGCGGGAAGTAGGAGTAGGGACTGCTCCAGGAGCTGGGATAACTCCACTCTATCAGCGTAGCGTTGACCTTTCTGATCGTCACCTTGTCGGGTTTCACTATCGGGGGTGGACAAAAAAAAAGAAAAGAAAGAATGAAAAGAAAGACGGGGAACGGACGGAAAAAACAACAAACTGTGCGCCGAAGAGGAAAAACAAAAAGGATCCCAGAGACGTCTCACCTATCTGGGAAAGGTAAAAGTATTTGGAGTAGCTCTCCACCAGGAAGTCCTTCGTCCTCACGTAGACGGTGAAGTGGATCATCCGTCTCTCCTCGGCGGAGGGGCAGCGCCGCTGGTCCACGCACAAGATCCCGAGCCCGTCGGCGTCCACCGAGCAGCCAAAGTCACTCTGGCCCGAAGAGCAGGTCCAACGCTGACCGCCGCCGTCCACAGAACACTCTACGTCACTGTCGTGGGAAAAACTGCACACAATAGCGTATTTTTATTCGGACAACGGAAGAGGTTTGAGTCACATTGGCTCGGAATGGCGCAGCAAGTCCAACATGAGGTTTTAGCATTTTTAGATTGAATCTGATCTCAGGGCATGACCTCGATCTTTAAATGAGAGGGAAGTGCTTTCTTATCCTTTCATCAGGAAGTATTTTCTGTATGTCACTGATGTCTCCGCTCTGACACGGGCCTGAATACTGTGTTATTATTGGAAAGCGAAAGTGAAAAAACCTTTCAGCAGTTTGTGTACTTACCGCCAAGCTTTGATGAAAGCCACTTTGCCGACGCGTTGGCTGTGCCACCTCCAGGAGCAGCGGAACTCTCCGTTGTGATTTTGAGCAGCACAATGTAAATAATCTCCTGATGAGAGACGTTGACACAAATTACCAGATGAAATACCGCACATCTAGCTGCTGCAGAGCAGAGGCAGTGCAATAGTTCAAATTAGACCTCACCGTCTTTGGGTTTCACAAGGATTATCCCCTCGTTCGTGGCGTTATCTTGGATCAGGACCTCGGTGTGGTTGAGCAGCGACCCGTCCTCGCCGTGGCAGGTGTAGTTCCCCCCACCTAACAGCTCCCTCAGCTTAATTAGGTAAGTGTTTCCTCTCTGCGCTTCCTCCTCTCCGTTCTTCCTCCAAGAAATATCCCCCTCCTCCTGCGGCCGCTCCAAGCAGCTCAGGGACAGCGGGCCCAACGTGCCGTCAACGCCCACAAGCAGAACTAACGGTTGGGGGGGGGGGGGGGGGGGCACGCAAACATGGGAATAAAAAAATAGGTTAAGGAAGAAAGATGAGCTTGGAGTGAGTAATGTGTTTTGATAGAGATGAAGCATACCGTGGGGCTTCATACTCCACCGTTGGGTTGGATTCTGACGAGTGACGTGCAGGAATGCACAGACAAAGCTGAAAACAAATAACTTCATCTGAATAGCAAAGGGAAGACAGAATGAGAGCGGACAAACAGGTTACACACAGAAAACCACAGAAGGTAAACAGGAACAAAATCCCTGGACGCACATGCCCAAAGACATCACGTGTGGAGATGCCATGGATTAATGTTGGAGATGGTATTTACAAACATATGGTTTAATAATATGGACAATAGGAAATTAATGGTGCAGGCTATAAACCACCTTTCTGACTTTACAACAATTACACAGCCCAAATTAAGATTTTTACTTTAAACTTACTATTCTATACCACAGTTACAAAGAGTCACTATGTTTTTATCCTTGTGATGGACGTCAATCAAAAAACTGCATGTACATTACAGAAAAAAAAGACAGAAATGTGTAGTTACAGAAACAATCTTTACCAAATACACACATACAGGCTACATACATTGTTCTGCGGTTGGTTACTGAGTTTGAAGTTTAACCAGTAGAAACCTGTCCAATGGGTCCACAAGCCGTCTTACCTTCGCGTTACTCTCTTCGGCTCTGCGAGTCCAGGCGACCTTTATGTGAGCGGCACGGTGACATTTCACAGACAAACTTCCCCATCTTCGTCCGGGGAAAAGTCCAGAGGAATTTCGCTTTCCAGCAAGGCGTTAACAAGAGGTGGAGAGCCGCGTGGCTTGTTTACGTTTACGACCCTCAATTTCACGCGACGTTATATGAGGCGTTTCATCGGGTGTTTGACAAGTTGGGCACCTGTGTGACGACACTCACCCCTTAATAATATTAAATTGGTATTTGTTTTAGGAGAACAGGTAAAAAAAAAAAAAAAAAATCACAAAAAGGGCATTGTAAAATAACCCAACCGAGGAAAAACCCCACGGGGTGAACAACTAACGTACGTAGTGACGTCAGCCTAATTTAAGCTAATGAGATGAACACCTGGTTGAATCAGAATTACGACGAGAAACGTAAAAATAATTGTACTATTGATGCTGCGAGTGTAATAATAAGGTAAAAAACACCTACTTTTACGTCTTGTGTGTCAAAACTTTGGCCAAGAAAGTCAAGACGTCATCGGTGGAAATGCGGCGGGCCTGAAGAGCTCGAGCCCACCAGCAGCTCCAGCAAGACTTCCGGACCAGCGGGTCCTGCAGAATAAAAAGGTATTCATTAGCCACTAAACGTGTGTATCACAATACGTAATATAAAATACTCCATTAATAAAAAATCTACATAGACGGCAGGACCTTATAATGTTTTGCTGCCCTCATCATCAAAGATTCTCTGGTTGTTCTTTACACCTCTGTTCAGTAACACAACACTTGATCACACACACTATGATTGTTTTGTTTGTATCATTTTCCCCCCAGTTGGGTTTACACTGGCTCTTCTTCCGTGTGTTTGAATCCTTTGTTGATGAACAAAAGGCAACAATAGGAGTGTCTGGTTTACAGAAGATTTTGGAATTTGTCTGGCGTGATGACAGTTTGTGAGTGTGTTTGGAATTGTATTTGTGTGTGAGTCACTTTTGTTTTTACATAGCAATTTATGATGTCAGTGCATTTCCTCTCATCGGGGTTGATATTTACTTAGATCAAGGACTACATTTAGTTTGCCATTCAGTTTTGGTTCATCTAACAGTGACAGTACTTCATTTACTCGTGTATTTATAGCGGCAGAAAACTCATTGTGGAAATGAATCAACAATTGATGTGTGATATGTGCTGTAACAAGACAAACCACACAGGTAAGTAGGTAGGTCTTACAGTACATGTAACAAACTCATCAGTGATTCGCCATCTTAAACCTCCTAGAAACTAGAAAAGAAAAGTGAAACCAAGGTAATGCAAATACTGTCCAGCCACAGACACGTCCATGAGAATGGAAAGATTTAGGTAAGGATCATAACGTGGACAACAAATGGGGAAATGAGACTGACATATGACAATTGAAAAGAAACCTGAACAAGTCAGAAGATGGGAAACAGGTCAAAAGACGAAACGAGATCCCGAAGGCCTGTTTCTTCACAATTGTCACGTAATGTGATACAGCAACTGATTATTTATCACTCACAGAAACTACAGAAGCGGAAAAAAACGCATTATGCAGGCAGACAAACTGCAATCTCAACAAATAATAGGTGAATAATAAAAAGGTATACTATTGATATAGCTCTCTCTGTACATTTCTTCATACATTAACTGAATTCTGATTGTAATAAATTCATGAAATGTACATGACAAGATATTTATGGTTCTGTTAAATGATGACATACTAGCTTACATATTTAAAAATGTAATGTTAAGGCCTTCTCATGCAGCGAGGAAACCTTAGTTTCCTCGTTGCATGTTAATCTCATAAACTGCACTGCTTAGTTTTAATCTCATGAACTGCACTGTTTGTGGTTGGCTTGAAGTTGTTAACTATGAGATAAAAAAAGAGCATTGCCGGTTGTGTGTCAGAGAGTCTATCAACGAGTCTGGGAACTGGGGAGACTATATAGTGGCTATTTAAACACTGATCTGATCTGTAACGACAGATATTATGGCTAAGAAATGCAGTTGTTTCTATAAAAATGGGATTTTAACTGTTTCCAAAATGATTCTTCAATTCTGTTTAGTTTCACAGTAGCACCACTACATTTAGATTTTATAAGATCAGAAGAAAAGAAAGAGGCTCGTATTTGAATATCTATGTTTACACAAACCGTAGTGGGGTCTGCGAGAAGCCAGACTACGATGATGTAAAAACAAAGCTAGGGCTCCATGTTTTCAGCCACAGCTCTTCTAAACGTTTCGGTTCCCTCTGCAGTGTTAACGTCTGACCACTAGATGTCTACAGCGGGTTACAGATGAGGGCGCTACCGATTTCTGACCCAAACACAGTGTGGTTTACATTTAAAATGAAATGGCTCCCAACCGGACAAAGTCATTGCAATCCTTGTTGTGTGATTACTTCCGCATTATTAGTTTACATCGCACATGCAAACATATTGTGCATAAGATTGTGGAACCATAGGCCTTTGGCTTTGGACGGATTCAGATGTGAGTTTGGTGCTCAAGTGTCACGGCTGTACGTTCTGCAGCTGTTGAGGATTACATGGCTGGGCAAGAGGGCTGGGAAACAATGGAATGTTTCCCAGATGCCCCCAAAACCGTAACAGCTGGAATGAAATCAGTGCAGTGATCTAATGTTCGGGACACGGGGAAAAAGCACAGAAACAGAAAGAAAGATGAGAACACAGTAATGATGTAATGTGTGTGTGTGTGTGTGTGTGTGTGTGGCAGAGTGAGGAGGGGATGAGGAAAGGATTGGGGGAAGGTATGGAAAGGTCAAGACAAATAAAGGTCTGGCTTCTGCTGCCTGGTCCACGGCTCGGCGCTGACATCGGCGAAGCCCTTTGTGATTGTGAGCAACAACACATTTGCTTTTCATCATGGACGGACCTCGCTGGCATTTAATCTATCTTGGCAGGTGTTTTTCTGTGACGTTTCTCTTTGGAATCCCATTAAATTTGCGTTGGAAAAAGAGAGACCGCGTATCCAGATTCACATATTAATGGAACTTTTTTTGACTGACTGCAGCCAACATTCCTCTCAGCAGCGAACAGCTCGTTTATCCAACACCAGATTTAGTTTGTTCCAGACAATGAGATTAAACTGTCCAGTGAAAAATTTCTACACGTGTGAAATAGTCTGACAGTGTTGACAAGAAAGGTTAGAGACATAATCGCATTTTTGTAATTGTGGTGCATTATGGATATTGTTTAATGCAACGCTTCAACCATGTCACATGGAATAATTGGAAATTATAGAGCATCCCTTGGTTTAACAAGAGGATGCACTAAGCCACTCTTAAACTATGACCCCTGTTTCCTTCTGCACATTCTATATTTGACCCTCTTATTTCAATGCTGAAAGATGGCACTTTCCTCTGGATTAGGTGATTAATTCTCTTAATTATCTCCTTGAAGGACATATTCCCATTGCAATCAGTAACCCTTGAGTGTAGGCTGTTTCTATCAAATCATCAGTGAAGATGAGAGTTCACAGAGTTCAATACGATTTGATGTGACTTTTGTTTCAGATGAAGAGTTCATTAATATTAATGAAACCAGCGTCCCGCAGTGTACATCGTTCTCTCTCAGGGAAATGTGTGCTTGTGCCGCGGCGTTTATCGTCCTCCCTCAGAAGGACAGAGTCATGGAGGGTAGCCTGCTGGAGTAAAGGGGGAGGTGGAGGCGTTATATCACCTGTTCACAGACCGCCTTCAAAGTTTCCAGAGAGAGAAAAATTTCACTTTTTCAAACTTGAAACGCATCAGAGAGTTAAATGTTGTTTTTAAATAAAGGGGTTGGAAGAAGAAGTTGGTAAAAAGATCAATGTCATGAAAGTGTGGAGCAAATGGCCTGATGATTTGACTTTACAAAGAGGTCTTTGTGCTCGGCACAGATTGTTTTTTTTCTTCTTTTTGTCATGAAGAACTGGTTATTGATCCCAATAGACAAGACATGGGGAACGGGAACAAAAACAGCAGAAACCACACAGGCCATCGACTTTACCATTGTGCATTGAGACACAAGATGGTACGATGGGGAAGTGGTCAATGCAGCTTTGCCCTAAAGACACAAGGGAAACGGTATTCATCATCAGTGATTGATATCTTATGAATACTAAATCACAATTGGTATATTTGAAAAGCCTACACTTTTCGGAGGAGACGTTCCGAAGCAGAGAGGAGCAAAATGAGTAAATGTCACAAACATTTTAATGACTTTGTGTTTTGTTTTGTATTTAAGAGGAATTTGTATGGCAGGTATACTTCCCACTAAAACCTGGATTCTTACTGCTTTAGCTGAGGCTGGATATCAAAATGAGTAGTTCCATTTTATTCCAGCTCTGAATGTCTTATAATCCCAGGCCGGATAGTTTCTCTTTCAAAGAACTCATGTGGTGTGGGATAAAGCTCTTTTCTGTTTTTTCCTTCTCGCTGTGGGTGGTACTGCGACATAAGAAAGCAGTTGTTTCAAGCACAAGATGTTGTTTCTGTCCGACAACTTAAGCAGACTGTCTCATGGGGTCAGGGCCTTATGACTGTGTGTCTGTTTGCATAAAGTGTGTATGCTTGCAACCAATGAGGATAAATGAACTCACTGATCACTTCACTTTAAGTGTTATTTTCCAGTAACTGCCCATAAAAGTGACTTCAGACGGCCAAATGGACTTGCCGGATCTCCTTTGAGCAGCTCAACCTTTGTGTTGGCCGTTATCTATAAACTTTCGGCCCCTGGCGCTGAGCTCCACATGAACGGTCGCTGTATTTTTTAATTTTTTTGTGTGATATTTTGTCCTTTTTTAGTTTTCTTGTAGTGGCGGAGGGAGAAATGTCTTGTGTCTCCTCGGGGATCATGCCTTTTTTCAGTAGGAAGCAAAGTCCTAGAAATTTTAGACAAAATGTGCTTCTCTGCCCAGCTGTGTGCGAGAAGTACATTGCAACCATAGCAACGTCAAACAGCTTTTGCATGACGGAGAGACAAAGCGAATGTCCTGTCCTTATTTATTCTTCCACATACTTGGATGTGTTACAAGTTTAACGGCCAACACTTTTGATCGATTATGACTTTTCTATATGTTTTTGGAAAATACAAAGTAATAACCCACATACCATCCAGATGAGCCCCTAAACAAAAGTGATTTCAACCAACTTGCTTTGTTTTTGACTCTTACAGTCTCCCTGTAACTTTGACTTCAGTCATAATTCTGAAGTTTCAAAAACGGTAAACTGGGACAACCAACTGGGGAGCGCGGCGGCTAATCCTTGTCAATCAGGAATTTGTTAGTCTGTACAATTCTTTGAAGCGAGTACTACATATCTCAGATGCATTCAGGTGTAGCTTTTTAAAGTGTAATTGGTTGTAGTGCTAGCACAATCAATTTAAAGGTCTATTTCGGTCTGGGCACATTGAGCAGCACGAGCTGATATGTCGAGAAGTGGAGCTGTGATGTTGTGCCAGCGGAATGTCAAATGTCCAACAAGGCTGCCTCTTCAAAGGCAGGGTCACGCCATGGCATTGTTTTCTCTTTCTCGCCCGATGAACGGCACGAGCAAGACCGCGAGAAAGACTCACTTATGACAAAGGGAAATGGAA